TGAGGAGAGGCAATTCTGAAGAAAGTGTTTTGGGGAAATGCCAAGTTAAATCCCAGGCAGCCTGTTCACATGAATCATAGCTGAAGAAGCAGCTCAGAATGACCCTTGAGGTGGTGCTGAGAAGACTTAACCCTAAACGGAGAGAAATTAGTCCAAAGTAAGGGGTTAGAGTAGATTTTAGATTTTTATCAGGACTACCATCTTAGGTGGATCATATATGGTAAATGGTGTTTAATCAGCATAACTAATAATGCGTACAAGTCCAGAGCAGATCACACTTTGAGCACCACTGGAGGCAAGGGAATCCACAGGGCTCTGAGAATCTTGGTTCTTAAAATTGTAGGACTCTGTATTTCTTTATTTGATGTAAATATTCTTTCAACAGTAATCATTTACCTCGTTCCTTAAATAATGCATTTTATGTGATCTAAGTTTTTTTTTTTTTGGTTGTATAGGAAATCTTGTTAATACAAATAGAGGCTGATGATATATTTATTTGTATTATGTGAGTTATTTATGTCTAGAGCATTCTACTTTTCATTCATTAGGGCCCCAAATATAGTTATAAATATAATAAATAACATATGTAGTAGGCCCTGGAATTTTCTTAAGTGGGAAGAAAATTCATCCGAATATCGCCTAGCAAAAGCCAACAGAGATGGACTAAAATGATGCTGGTCTGCTTCTTCCCTCCTTTCCTTCCTCTTGTTATCCTTCCTTCATTAATTTACTAACTCTCTCTCTATGTATACACTTATTAAGCACTTACTATATGCATGGTTCACTGTGCTAAAGTTCCTTGCAAAACAAGAAGATGTAAACTTGCAAGGGCCTTCCAATTAATATTCTGTTGGAACAATGAAACTCACATGAAAATATAAAACACAAGGAGCAATGCAGTTCTTATAATCTAAAACAATGTTTTTCAAACCATAGGTTAGCATGACCCACATAAAATAAATTTCATAGGTTAGGATCATACTTTACCAACAAATTTAAAATAAGGATGAAAAGAGGCAAATATCAGTGTTTATTGCAGGTAATAAAATACATGTTTCCTAAAATTTTTGGAGAACAGATATATGTCAGTGTAAAGGGTCTGCCTTACTATGAGTCATAGAGTCAAAAAAATGTTTGAAAGATACTATCCAGAGAAGCTTTGAGAAGAGATCATTTTTAACTTGAGTGGTCAAGGAAGGCAGGCTTTTGGAGGGCTGAAAGTGCTTGAATGAGGCATAGGGGAGATAGGATGTCTTCTCAGATTAAAGAGTTACCAAAGAGAGTTCTGTAACAGTGAATTATAACTAAAAGAGAAAGTAAACTCTATAGAGTCAGCTTATTCTTGAATGAATGACTACCCCACGACCAACTATCCTTCTAGAAACTTCTGGGAAACACATGACCAATATGCAACTAAATCTAGCTCTGCTACCACAAGGGAAACTTAACAGAGTTTTTCCTGTGAGGTACATCATCCACAGAAGAGTGGTTCAAAATATTCTTCTGCCCCGTGGGCTTTTCCAAATATTCATGTATTTGAGATACTGAGATTTTGTTTCATGTTTTAAAAAAAGGCCTAAACATAAACACACAATGCCATACATTGAAAGTGATATTTCTTCTCTCCGCCCCCTTGCATTCAACTCACTTGTGACTTTTATTAGAGAGTGGCTTCTGTGCGTTTTGTGGTCTCATATGTACTGACAAAACTCAAGCACTCAGAACAACGGATTTATTTAGCATATATATATAATATATAATATATATAATATATATATTATATGTATATATATACAAAAGAAGGAGATAGAATAAAAGCAGTCAGGGTAGCCTCCGGAGAAGGGGAGCTGTTGTTGCAGGAATCTTGTAAGTTAATGAGAATTCACCCGGGACTCAAGA